AAATTAAATTCACAATGGAGGTGGAGGAGGATGAACGACTGTCCCTTCTGGATATTGAAGTCATGTGCTCCAATGGGACACTCATGAGGAGACTATACAGAAAACATTCACATGCGCGAATAATCCTTAATTTTCAGTCTCACAATAACTAAAGATTGATGATGGGAATACTGAGGAGTTTGATCATCAGAAGCTTACGACAAACGGACACTGAGTTCTGGGACAAGTAGTTGGACAAACTGATACGGACTTGCTTTGGTAACAGGTATCCCAGAGAATTTATATTACAAAAATGTAGAGGTTATAAAGGGCAGATTTCAACTGGGATTTTATAAAAAATCGATCAGCAATTAAGAGGACGACCAGAAGTGGATTTGTCTACCCTCATCGAAACTGAGCGAAAAATTGCGACAGTTACTAGGGAAATTTAACTTCAAGGTGATAACAAAGGAGAAGACAACAACTTTCAACAGTCTGCCGATGCAACACAAGAAGACGGACAAACTTGATTGCTCGGGGGTTTATCTCATCAAATGCGGCAACTGTGAGCAGAAGTATATCGATGAAACAGGAAGTAAAATCTGCCTACGAATCAAGGAACATCGAAGACTCTGCAGGAACATGAATACGAAAAGATCTGAAATAGGGGAACACATTGCACGAACGGAGTAACCGAAAGGTTGGCTGCATGTGGTGAAAATACGAGAAAACGCAATATCCGAGAGGCCATCGAAATACTGACCGAGAGAATTCTAATGAACAGGAGACATGAAGAAGACAGGATCAGCGAAAACTTTGCATATTGCCTAAACAAACTCAGGAATACCAGGCAACAGTAAGATCATCAAAAAGAAGACGACTTGATCAAGGTAACATCATTAATTTTAGCAAAAGAAATCGCAGGAAGACCAGAACCACAACATTTTTGGGTTGGCACACACGGAACTAGGGCATAGGAAGTCATAGACTTGGTACTATGTATAAAAGCAGAGTAGATGCGACGAAGAATAAAGCTCGTTGGCTGACAGTACACGTGTATGATCCTATGGTGCGGTCCATGAAGCAACGCTTTGACCATAAGAAATACTCGGGGACTTACCCTCATGCAATTATCATAGAG